AATGCGGTTTAGCATCTCCTGCCAAGTCCAGCTCTGAAATGCATAGAATTCAAACGATGGTGCAAAACTAGGATTCAAGAACTGCCTGTGTTCCTGGTCTGTATTCAGCAGGTTTCCGGTGTCTTATCAAACCCAGGAACAATGGTCTCTGGAGCAATACATACTGGTGCTTGTGGAGCCACAAGGAAACAAGCATAGACTGGCTACTCCATTCCAAATCCTCCACTGAAAGAGTTTCTGTTCTGATACACTGAGTTGTTATAGTAATTCATTATGTTCATTTATTTGGAAAATATCACTTTAATTAAATTCTATACATTTGATAGTGGTGTTCTGAATTTTAGCTCTCCACTTTCCCCCTTCTCCTTGAAGAATGACTTAGCCACCAAATTCCCCTGAGACAAATTTAAAAAAAATTTTTTTAAAGCAGGATCACTATGTATCCCTGGCTGGTCTAGAGCTCAGTACATAGACCAAGATGTCCTCAAACTCACAGAGACCCATCTGTTCTGCCTCCTGCGTGCTTCAATTAAAGGTGTGAATCACTACATCTGACCTTCTGAGCCAATTTTGAAGCCTTATTGCTGTGGAATAATCCTTCTGTACACTGTGAATGTGTAATAATCTCATTGGTTAATAGAGAAGTTGTTGAACTGTTTAGGGGGCTCTGAGGCAGTGGGATCAGGATCTGTCCCTGGTGCATGAGATGGCTTTTTGGAGTCCAGTGCCTATTGTGGGACACCTTGTGCCAGCCTTGGTGCAGAGAGGAGAGGCTTGGACCTGTCTCAATTGAATGTACCAGACTCTGCTGATTCCCCATGGGAGACCTTGCCTTGGAGGAGGTGGGAATGGGGGATGGGTTGGGGGGAGGCTGGGGGGCAGAAAGATGGAGGAAAGGGGGAGCTGTGGTTGGTATATAAAATGAATAGAAAATTTCTTAATAATAAAAACAAACAAACAAAAGAAACTGATATATAGCAAGACAGGATAAAGTTAGGCAGGACAATCAAACTGAGGATCCTGGGATGAAGAGAGGCAGAGTCAAGGAGACACCAGCCAGTCACTGAGGAAGTAGGATGTGTAGAAAATGAGGTAACAAGTCATGAGCGTTGTGGCAAAGCATAGATAAGAAATATGGGTTAATTTAAGTATTAGCTAGTAACAAGCCTGAGCTATTGGCTGAGCATTTGTAATTAATATTAAGCCTCAGTGTGATTATGCGGGAGCAGGCGGTAGGGACAAGAAAAGTCTGCCTATACCTCATGATGGACTTGGATAAGTTGTTGGATAAACTTTGTATCACTACGTCTCTTTCTGTCTCCTCCCTGCCATGGTTTTGTTGCTTTAGGCAGTGTCTCTCTGTGTAGCCCCTGGCTCACCTGAAACTTGCTATAGACCAGGTTGGCCTCGAACTTTCAGAGATTGCCTGCTTCTGCCTTCTCCTAAGTGTTGGAATATGTCTGTTATATCTTTGAGTTCCTTTTTTCTCCTTCATTTTAAAACCACTTAGTAAGCCTTCCCAAGTAAACTCCTGCACAAAATTGCACATCTTCATTACCAGTGTGTAAGTATTGTATGAAATACAAGCTATTAAGTAACAGTAATGACAGCCCTCTTGATATTTTAGTTGTTGTTGCTCTCACTTGAGATGTTTCTTATTCCTTATTTGTTCACTCTGTGGGTGAAAATGGACAATAGCCATAGCTGTGAAATGTAAGAGCAGTGCCAAGGATTCATAACATTCGTGAACAACAAAAGGAATGCCTTAGTTTCAAAGAAGTCATATTACACGTGATGACACCAGTTTGTGAGATCTTGAAAGAACCTAGAAATCATCTTTAGAGACCTAATTGGAAAGCTCTGGGAAATGCGGTGAGCTCCAATTCTAACTCGGGGATCCTTAGCTAAGGAGTTTGGAACTTATTTTCCAAGTGGTAAAAAGGATTTATTGAAGTTACTTTAAGCAGCATTGGAAAGATTAACAAAGCATAAATTGAATTAATTGACATAATTATTCCCAATAAATTTAAGTGAAGGAAAAAATAATGCAAAGATAAGGAGAAATTATAGGAGTTGAAGCTTGAAGGGAAAGAGTCTAAACTAAGGTGTGTCTAATAGATTTTATATCACTGCGATGATACATCATATATTTAAGGGAGGAAACATTTGTTTTGACTCAGAGCTCCAGTCCACAGCTGCTTGGCCCCATTGCTGGAGGCCCGTGGTGAGGTGGAACATTGTAACAGTGGGGGTGTAGTGGAGCAAAGCTGCTTACCTCATGGATCCCCAGAGACAAAGAGTCACAGACCAATAGAAAGGGGCATAGGAACAAGACAGAACTTTCCAGAGCATGCCCCGTGGCTTATTTCCTTAAGTTAAGCCCTCCCTTCCAGTAATACAATCATATTCTGAATTCATCAAGGGCTTAATCCACTGATTAGGTCAGAACCTTCAGAATCCAGTCACTTCCTCAAAGTCCATCAGATGGCAAGCAAGACTTTCACACATGAGCCTTTTAGAGGGGGAGACATCATAGCCAAACCAGCAGGAAGGAAGGCCGATGCAAGACCTTGCATGGGAAGAACCAACTGAACTGAACGCATTGCTAACTGTATCTGAGGTGGGAATGTGGGATGGGAGGAAGATATAGTCCTTCTTAGTTTCCCAGAGTGGGATTGCTTGGAATAAAGATAGTTCCATTGGCATTTACAAGTGGGATAGTGATGCTTTTAGTTTCAAATGTACTGAGTCAGAGGATGCAATAAGATACTGAAATGAAAATGTCTGGGACCTGGTTGGTAATTCAAAACTATAATCTTAGTATAGAAATTTAAGACATATCCAATTGATGCTAAAAATATAATACAATTTTGGTAAACTAAATAAATCAGCAAATACTTATATGCCCTCTCTAAGGGTATATGGCTACCTCTGAGGGGGGACCATATCAAGAGAAGAGCAGAGAGTCAGAGATTTACAGTTTGCGTGTTGGGTATAAAGGTAAGTGGGAATGATGTGTCCTAGTTAGGGTTACTATTGCTATGTTGAAACACCACAACCAAAAACAAGTTGTGGAGGAAAGGGTATGTTTGGCTTACACTTCCACATTGTAGTCCATCACTGAAGGAAGTCAGGGCAGGAACTCAAACAGGGCAGGGACCTGGAGTCAGGAGCTGATGCAGAGGCCATGGAGGAGTTACTGCCTTGCTCCTAATGGCTTGCTCAACCTGATTTCTTATAAAAGCCAGGACCACCAGCCCAGGGGAGGCACTACCTACAGTGATCTGGGCCCTCTCCCATCAATCACTAATTAATAAAATGCCCTACAGTTGGATCTTATGGAGGTTTTTTTTTTTTGTTTTTGTTTTTCAATCAAGGTTCCCTCTTTTCAGATGGCTCTAGCTTGTGTCAAGTTGACATAAAACTAGCCAACACAATGGGTCAAAGAAAGTAGAAACAAAAAAATGTATATGAATGAGGGCCAAGGAAAGAAGAACGTTTCAAACAAACTAAAGAGAATAAAGACCCAGAGAATGCTGAGGGATCTAGCCCCTAGGAAATAACTGGTACCCCTTGTGTGACCAATTCTCTATTAATAAGTGTGGAAATAATGAAGATCATTTTAATTCACTAAACATTTTCACTCGCTATCACTGTCTTCTTTTGCAAACTGGTCAGGTCTCACAAAATTCAGGCCTAGTTCACATATTTTTCTTTTTTTTAGTTATAGAGATGAAATTTTGGACTACATTAATTCTAGACAAGAAGCTGAAGAGAAATTATCATATCATTTCTGACCTCACATTTGGTGTTATAGTGTAACACTAAAAAATGGGAATACGTTTAAGGAATTATCTTCCCGTTCTAAGGGCTCTTGTCCAACCATATTAAGATAGCCCCTGCCTATTTCAGACCATATTCTACATAAAGAATATCATTCTGTTTGGATTATTACTTGCTGCAAAAATAGGCTTAAAGTTTGAGTCACATAAAAATGCTTTGGAACTGAAGTCTCTGAAATTTTGACCGCTACAAACAGAGTGTATTTAACTTAAGCGCCATTTCTACTTAGAGAATGGACCCTATAAAGAAAGTAAATCATACTCTTGGTATCTGTTCCTTGGGTGGAGCACACACATAGCTCACTTTCAGAAGTTATTTGGTTTCTTAAATATTGAGCAGTTTCAGATCTAAGTCTTAACTGTCTGTGACTCAGCTGCAGTTTGATCTTTTCACTTCTCCAAAGTCATTCAACTATGTCATCCTTATTTCCTGTCCTGAAAGAAACTAACCCCAGAGGATGCTGAAAGGGTTAAGGTAGAATGTCTGAAAAGTGGAAGAGAACAGCTCTCTAGAGGTAGCTTCTTATCACTCTCCTTACGTGCGCGTGCGTGTGCGTGCGTGCGTGCTTCTGTGTGTGTGTGTGTGTGTGTGTGTGTGTGTGTGTGTGTGTGTGGGCATGTGTGGGCATATGCCCATATGTAGTGTACGTGTGTATTTGGTTCTAAGTGCAGATGTATGGAGGCAAAGAGCAACCTCAGATATCTTTCCTCAGGAGTCATCTACCTTGTTTTGTGAGACAAGGTCCTCACTGGGATCTGGAGCTTGTCCATTAGGCTAAGCTCGCTGGCCAGTGAGCCCCAAGAATCCACCTGCTTCCCCCTCTCCAGCACTGGCATTGCAAATTGAGCCACTACCCCTGGCTTTTTAAATTTGTTTACTTATTTATATTTTGAGACAAGGTCTTTCTATGTTTACCTGGCTGGCATGGAACTCACTATGTAGACCAGTCCACCCTCAAACTCATAAAGATCTGTCTGCCTATGACACCCAAATACTAGGATTAAAGGCACGTGCCACCAATGCTGGCCCACACTTGGCTTTATGTGGGCTCTGAGACTCAAACTCGGGTTCTCCTGCTTGCAAGGGAGTCCTTACTATACCAAAATGAGCCCCTTACCTCTTTCTTTGGAAAAATTGTTCTTGGAATTGTGTTACAGAAGCTGAAAAGGCAATCTACCAAGTACAAGGCAGACAAAACCTACCCTACAACTGTGGCCCAGAAGCCTAAGAATATCAAGAAAAACAGATACAAGGATATTTTGCCCTGTAAGTTCCATTTCTTCCTGTAAGCTTATACTTCCAGTTTTATCCACCTCTCCACTTTTTAACCAAGTACTTGTCCTTAATCTTGGAATATGGCACTGACAAACCAATCGTACTATTTATGACTACAAAAGAACATTCATCCGTTCAATTACTTGTTCACTTATCAAACACTTTTAACAACCACTCTTCTTGAGACCTGACTGAACCCTCGATGTTGGACTCATTAGTTACACCGTGTCTTTCTCTTGTGTTCTAGATGACCATAGCCTGGTAGAGCTGAACCTGATAACTTCTGATGAGGATTCCAGCTATATCAATGCCAGCTTTATTAAGGTAGATGGAGAGGAAACAACAACACTCCATATTTTTCTGAGCACCTAAAATGGGATGGGGAGAGGACCAGGGAGAAGAAGCTGTCTGCCATCACCTCATGTGATTTCTATTCCCTTTAGGGTGTCTATGGACCCAGGGCTTATATTGCCACCCAGGGTCCTTTATCTACAACTGTCCTGGACTTCTGGAGGATGATTTGGGAATATCGTGTCTTGGTGAGTGCCGCGTTGCTCTTGGAGCTTTGGTGGAGGGGGCAGGATACAGGATGTGACTGAGGTTTCCCAGGTGTGCTTTTCTTATGGCTTGGTGAGATTTCAGAGTGCAGGTACCTTTTATCAATATTACGATGTATTCTTATTCAAGAAAATGAAAGCTGATACCTTGACAGGCTCTCTTGGTAACAAGAATGCTGATAAGAGAACAGGGGAGTGGGGACAAAAAGAAGGAAGAGTAAGACCATCTCCTAAGTCCACTAGGGTTTCTTTTTGGGTTAGAAAGCAAAGCTGACAGAAAACAACGCTTAATACTTTCTGACTCCGGAACTCATGCAGGACTGTCTTCCCTAACTCTGTAGATGTTTAAATTTCTGTGTCTTGCCTTCAGGTCATTGTCATGGCGTGTATGGAGTTTGAAATGGGAAAGGTGAGTTGCTTTTCAGTCCTGGTAGAGCTGAAGGTAAAGTAAGGGGGCAATGGTGGTAGAACTTTCTTTAAGTGTGTCTGGGGAAAACCATACCGTTTTCCCAGTTTTCAGTTTGGAGATACCACATGATGCATAGGGGGTTTCACCTCCGAGAACCCCTTTTATCCATTTTCCCAGTAACTCTTGTGCTCTAAAGTTAAAGAAAGGAAGAAAGGAAGTAAAGGAGAAAAGAATATCACTTCCTTTCTGATAATCAGATGTTTTAACTGTCCATGAGAGACTCACCCTGTGCTGCCCAAAACAGCGTCCACCACCACAGGTAGCTGTTAAGCACTTGCCAGGGATTGCATGGAGGAAGAACTCAATGGTTTTATTTTAATTGCTTTAAAACTAAAAACTTCAGCTATTGAAAAATGTATTTTGGGGTATGTGGAACTTTTTCAAAGATAAATTTGATTTACTATAACTGAAAATATTTCCAATGAAAATTTAGCATTCTACTTGAGTGATGAATATAAAATTTACATAGGATTTTAATATTTGTTAAATACAAGGCAAAGCACATATGTACTATTGTATCTGGATTACATTTAAATATTTTGGTATAAATATTGGGCTAAAATGTGTTTCACCTATTTTCATTTTTAAATGTGGTGTTAGAAAATTTAAACCTAACAGTGTGACTGGCATTGCTGTTCTAATCTACTGTGGCCATTCCAAGTTGGGAATTCCAATCACAATTCGGGGGATCTGGCACTTAACTGGTGCAACTGTTTTAGTCAACAATTTCAGGGTTTTTGAGATGCTGAACATAGGTCAGCAATCACTATTTCTACTTTTCAGACTCCTAGGAAGTCTATAATTCAGACATCCTTTAATGTCTGTTTTTTATCCTTTGGAGATTCCTGACCATATTGCTGGAGTTGAATTCCAAGGGGGTTAGCTGTACCTAACCTAAGATGAAGGACACAGAGCTGCTTCTGGATGAGGGAGTGGGTTTCATCTTGCAGGAGAGACTGGACTATATGGAGGGAAACCATTACCTTCTGTTTTATGCAACAGAAAAAGTGTGAACGCTATTGGGCTGAGCCAGGAGAGACACAGCTGCAGTTTGGCCCTTTTTCTATATTCTGTGTAAGTATGATGTGTTTCTGTTATGGCTAAGCAAAGCCTCCAGGATCTACATTTTAGAGAGCGTGCCCTTGAAATTGCTGATAATTTAATTTTCTCCTTAGGAAGCTGAGAAAAAGAAATCTGATTATATAATCAGGACTCTGAAAGCCAAGTTCAATAATGTAAGTATAGAACAGGAGTGATAATGCTGAGAGCCTACTGAGATAAGACAGGTAAACATGTATGTGTGTGACTCAGGCTGGGCATACAGTTATGGGGAGAGTTAGGGCCTTTCGTGTCTTGAGTAAGTCTTCATAGTCATAAGACACTCTGCCCCCAATCTGTTTCACACCACAGCACACATAAAAGTGATATTGGTAGTATGAACAGAGGTATTATGAACAGTGGTTAGACATTAGGGACCAACATGACAGCTGATGATGCCTTAGACTCTACCCTGCCTTGCTAAAGGCCAGGGGATTCAATATACCAATATGTCTGTGAACTATTTGAGACATGCTAATTTGAGGAAGATTTGGTTTGTACTATTTTCATATCTACCTCCTCTTATAGAGGTGGGTCGTTAAGGATAAGACAATGGAAAACATCCTCATATTACTTTCATATTTCATTTTCATAAGGCTTGAGAGGTATATAGAAGAAAGCAGAATAAATTGCAAGAATAAAGGGGTATAGATGGAACTTAATCAGACTAACCTTTTGGTAGAATGAGGTAGAATCCTGACCTTGAATTCTCCATTTGTTCTGTCTATTTTTTTTAATAGAAAACTAGAATTATTTACCAGTTTCATTATAAGAATTGGCCAGACCACGATGTGCCTTCATCTATAGACCCCATCCTTGAGCTCATCTGGGATATACGTTGTTACCAAGAAGACGACTGTGTTCCCATATGCGTTCATTGCAGGTGAGATGCTGTGAGTGAACTTTCCATTGAGAACAAGCAAAATGAGACTGTGGTTGGAGCGCAATTCAAAGAAAAAAGTCAAGAGCTGAAGCAGTCTAGTATAAATTCAACTGGTGCATTAAATTCATTTCTCTAAAATTTATTGTTTGTGTGTATGCACATATGTGCACCCATGTACATGTGTCACAGCCTACATGTAGAGATCCAAACACAACTTTGGGGAGATGGTTGTCTCTGTCCACCATGTGGGTTCTGGGGATTGAATCTCAGGTCATTAGGCAAAGGCAGCAAGAACCTTTACTCACTGAAACATTTTGCTAAACATAAGATTTCTTTAAAGTTATTTGTGAACAGTGGTTCTGGGAACTCTCGTGTGAAGTCACCAATACCTGTGGCATGACACACATGTTCTGGGACATGGTAGGACTTGAAAAGTTTCATTTCCTCCCTCCTCAATCTACTAAGGAATTTTCCAACCATCGTCAGTTCTCTCTCATCAAGTGCACGTGCTACCGTGGTCTTCTGTTTCAGCGCTGGCTGCGGGAGGACGGGCGTCATCTGTGCCGTTGATTACACGCGGATGCTGCTGAAAGATGGGGTGAGTTTCCCAGCAAACACTTCCTGTCTTCTTGCTGCATGCATCTTCCACTTTCAGAACATCTTCACTGCTCACCTTTTCTTACAGAGTGGGTTATTTGTAAATCTACCCTGTTACATGATTAAATTGGTTCCTAAGATGGTGATTCTGAAGGTGTGGTCCCAGGGGGAGAGGGTACAGCTTAATAATAATGTACTTGTCTTATGACAGGAGGCCCTAAGTTTGACCTCCAACATGACGAAGTACAGTTCTCTGGGATCAACATTACCTGAGAAATTGATAGAAATATAAATTATGGACTCCTGCCCACTGATGAATCTGGAAAGTTTGGAGGGTGTGAGCCAACAAGCCCTCTGGATGATTCTGAGAAATGCTCAAGTTAGAGAATTGCTGCCCTGAATTGTTTATTTCCCCCTTGTTATCCAAACTGTTTTAGCAGATGGATTCAACTTACTACAACCAAGCTTTGTGCTGTTGTCTAGAAATGTGTGTGTGTGTGTGTGTGTGTGTGTGTGTGTGTGTGTTTGCATGGATATGTGCATGGATGTGCGTGTAGGGTGCATATGTGGAAATTCATATTGGGGTCTCTCTTACTTTTTTTCTATCTTATTTTTTTTTGAGACAGGGTCTCTACTGAATCTTAATTTTGATAGGCTGGCTGACAATGGGCTCCAGGGACCCATTTGTCTCCCTGAGCACTGGGATTTTAGACTGCCTGGCTCTCATGTGCATGCTTGGGATCTGAACTCAAGTCCTCATGCTCTTTACCAAGTGAGCTATCTCTCCATCTCTAGGGAAAAAACATTTTTTTTCCAAGACAGAGTTTCACTGTGTAGCCCTGGCTGTCCTGGAATTCACTCTGTAGTCCAGGCTGGCCTCGAACACAATCTGATCTACCTTTGCCTCCTGAGTACTGGGATTAAAGGTGTGTGCCACCATACTTGGCCAATTAAAAAAAATTAAACATTTTATGTGAGTGGGTAATAGACCTGTTTGCATATCTGTGTGCCTTGTATATGCCTAGTGCCCATAGAGGCCACAAGAGAGCATCGGTCCTTGGAAATTAGTTACATACAGTTGTGAGCTGCCAAGCAGATGCAGGGAATAGAACCTAGGTTCTCTGGAAGAGCCAGCGTTTTAGCTGCTGAGTTATCTTGCTAGTCTGTTAGGAAATGAGAAGTTTAAAATGGGGCTTTAGATTTTCTAACTTCTTTTATTTCATAAAACCTCAGATGAATTATCTATTAAGCCTTATCTTTGTGGCATTAGACATTTTATCACCATGTAAAATTGTTCTAAATTATATTAGTCAGTCTTTTCTAGTGACAACACCAGCCTCTAAATCAGTGTTTCTCAATCTGTAGATCACAACCCCTTTGGGGTCAAATGACCCTTTCAGAAGGGTTGTCTAAGCCCATCAGAAAACAGATATTTACATTACAATTCATAATAGTAGCATAAAAAGTTACAATTATGAAGTAGCAATGAAAATAACTTTATGGTTGAGGATCACTATAACATGAGGAACATGAGGAACACCATAACGTGTATTAATGGGTCACAGTATTAGGAAGGTTGAGACTACGGCTCTAAATCATGGTGAAAATTATAAGAAACTATTGGCTTTCAAAATGCATTCTTAGGGCTGTAGATAATGGCTCAGGGGTGAAGGACTGGCTGCTCTTGCAGAAGTTTGGCTCTCAGCAACCACATGTCAGTTCACAGTCATCAGTAACTCCAGGTCCAAGGGATCCAATGCCCCCTTCTGCCCTTTGTGGGTACCAGGCACCCAAGTGGTGCATTTATATGCAAACACTCATACACATAAAATAAAAACACGTATTTTGTAGTCCCTTGGGGCTAGGGATATAGTTCAGTTGGTACAGTGGTTGGCTAACAATGCTTTATGGTTGATCTGTCTAAGCTGTGTAAACCTGGATCATGGGTATGGTGGCACATACCTATAATCCTAGCATTTGGAAGGTAGAAGAAGCTGAAGGGCATCCTTGGCTACACAGCCAGTTTAAGGCCAGCTTGGGCTAAATGAAACCCTGTCAGAAAGAAAGAAAGAAAGAGAGGGAGGGAAGGAGAGAGGGAAAAGGCATTCTTTTCTTGGTGTTGTTCTATACTAGAGGAACGGGTGTCACAGGACTACAAAACTATGAGAAAACGGCACGGTGTGTTAGCAAAAAATAAAAAGAAGTAAAAGAGTTTTCTCTTTGACTTGACAGATAGTTCCTGAGAACTTCAGCGTTTTTAGTTTGATCCAGGAAATGCGAACACAGAGGCCTTCACTAGTTCAAACTCAGGTAAGGACTGGTGAAGAGATGACGGGTGTGTCTGTGTTCATGGTGACACACCCAAAGCTGCTGAGTGTGCGGGCGACACTAACTTGTTACTGTGTGTTTTCCTCTAACTCTGGATTTCCCTGGTCTTCGTGCAGCCCTTGTCCTGGGTCAGATTATTTTCATTCCTCATTTTTTACTGTCTACAATATTATTTCTTGTTTACAAAAGAAATTGAAAAAAATTCAGTGAGTTTGACTTATTAGAAAGAACCGGCCAATGTTATGGGTCATAAGTTAACTTGAAGTTTTGCAGTTACAAATCCATCTACAAAGCCACAGAAAATCAGGGACTTGCCATTTCTACTTCAAGAAATGATATGATTTCTACATTAGGAAGCAATGAGAAATGAAATTAGAACAAGAAGATGCCTGTCACATGTTGGTTGCTTCTGTTACCATTCCCTACAACCTTTGAACCCGTGCTAGATTGCCCACACTTGTCCATTTCACTAGGAATACTCTTCTAAGCCCAAATCTCTCATTGATTTCACACATATTTATACACCAATAACTTCACTCAACTTTATACATTTATACATCTTTAACATGGAGCTTAGCATTTATCCACTCAGCGATTCACTCATGCATTCAAGTTTTTATTGATATTTATTACGTATAAGACATTTTTGTATATTTTTTAAGAATTGTCTTTAAGTAGAAAGACCTTGATGTGTTTCAAGTCCCTTACAAATGAACTTGCACACAAGTTTGAGATGAAGCAGTTCAAAGTGGCAGTTTAGATATTTTAATGTACAGTTGTGAATGAAGGGAAAAAATGAAGAGCTATTAATACAAAAGTGTCTGTTTGGCCCACACAGGTTTTCCATGAGCAGGTTGTGGAAAAAATAATTTTTCATGTGTTGCCTGTAGGTGTTTTCTATATTCAACTATGAGGGGAAAGTTTATGTGAACTGGAAGCCTTAGATGGCTTAGTGCTGTCAGGCTTGAAAGGAAGGTAATGCATATAGATTCACAGACACCAGGAAGCATGAGCCTTGCTCTATGAACTGCAGTGCTAAATTCATAAGCATACCCTATTTCAGAAAATCCCATCTCTCGGGCCTAGTTTTGGGAGTTTGAAGGGAACCGGAGGCTTTCCTATTTCAGCACTGTTACTAACTAGCTAAACAAATCTAACGGTTGTAGCTGATTCTTCCGACACTGCAAAATGGCAATCTAGCCAGACGCTGCTTCCGGTTTGAGTCCCATTCCCACCCAGTCTCTCTTTATCTCTGTCTCCCTCTGACAGGGTCTTATCTCATACCCCAGTCTGGCTTAGAGTTTAACATTGGGGTCCAGGCTGGCCTTGAAGTTGCAGCAATCCTTCTGCCTCAGCTTCCTGAGTGCTGGGATTACAGAAGGGAACCACAATTGCTGGCTATGTTTTCTGTCTTAAAAAATGATAGCATTCCATGACTATGTTGGGTGTTATAGATGCTACATTGTTCTCCTGCTAAAAAACACCCGTTGAAACATCCTTTATTTGTATGGGATTGTGTAAAGTATGAGAGGAAGTGCTTCAGGAAAAAGAAAGGCCGAAATGAAGTATTACAAGTATTACAAGCCATAAACCTTGTAATACATGGTAAGAATAGAGGTCTCATTTCTCTACGTTGAATCCTTTTGTAACCACAGATTTTCAACTTTTTATTCAGTGGTTTACTTTTCTTTGGTATCTTTACTAGGAAAAAATTTCAGCAACTTGATCTAAATACACTAAACTAAGTCAGAAGATTCAGTTTATAAGTCACATGCAGGAATTACTTCTGAATGGCCTTGGACAAACTGACTGTAAACAGGTATAATAGCCTTCCTACCTCATCGAGCAATTGTGAAGGTCAAATTAGAAAACACATATTGAAGTTATCAATTCATATACCACCCATTACCTGATTTTTTTTTCCATAAATGAAGGTGATTTACTCAAGATACATCTAGAATAACATGTAAACAAAAAATGCTAGCAAAGAAAACAGAGAGACGAAAGATAAAAAGGAAAAAGTAGGGTTAGAATATGAAAGAAACATGGCATAAAATCCTTGTGTGTTAGCTAGAGTTATGTAAAATAAGTATTTCTCATAACCTAAAGGAACATACAGATCTGCAGTGAATGATGGAGCATACAGCGCTGTTTACTGAGTTTAGTAACATGTTGATAGATGTTCCTGTTTTGAAATCAGTTTTTGTAATTCACCTGATGTTTCTGTGTTCTTCATTTGCCTGGCTTGTGATATTCTCCAGGAACAATACGAACTGGTCTATAGTGCTGTGTTAGAACTATTTAAAAGGCATATGGATATTATTGGAGATGAACACTCTGGAAGAGAGGTAATGTTGAAATTACATATTATTTTTTCATATGTTTTTGGCCAAAGTATCTCAGATTATTTGTTGGGCTTATGTATGGTCACACCCAAATTGGAATGTCAGGATTTCATAGGGCTATGTCAAAATCTCCTGTAGAGGACAAATTAATTTGTGGTAGTTTAACTTAGAAAATTCACAACTTGATTATCTTATTACATATAATTTACAGCTAAATTTAGAAGCTGAATTTAATTAGGGCACGCATCTGTTTTGATCCCAAGTTTTAGGCAATTTATTGGCAAGTTAAATTTGAATTCATAAATTCATAGGTGAGTGCTTTTTCAGGTCCCATCTGTCTTACTTTATAGCATACATCTCACAATTTTTTTTAAAATTGAGCCAGGTGTGGTGACACATGTCTTTAATCCCAGAGACAGAGGAAGGTGGATCTCTGTGAGTTTGGAGGCCAGCTTGGTGAGTTCCAGGCTAGCCAGGGCTACACAGTGAGACCCTGTCTCAAAGAACAAAAATATAACAGAACAAAATTGAATATATTTATAATATATAATATGATGTTTTAAGGTTTGTATACATTGTGTAATGACTAAATCAAACTAATTAACATATTCATTACTTTATATATTTATTTTTTTTATTTTTTATTTTTTTGGTTTTTCGAGACAGGGTTTCTCTGTGTAGCTTTGCGCCTTTCCTGGGACTCACTTGGTAGCCCAGGCTGGCCTCGAACTCACAGAGATCCACCTGGCTCTGCCTCCCGAGTGCTGGGATTAAAGGCGTGTGCCACCACCGCCTGGCTATATAATTTAAGAACTATAGTCTATGCAGTTTCTAATACATAATACCTCATTATTAACTGTAGTCACTGTATTTTATAGTAAACCTCTTGAATTTATTCTTTTTAATCTAGTTAAAATTTTGTTTGGTTTTTGTTTTGTTTTGTTTTGTTTTTTTCCCAGACAGGGTTTCTCTGTGTAGCTGTCCTGGAACTCACTTTGTAGACCAGGCTGGCCTTGAATTCAAATTTGCCTGCCTCGCCTCCCAAGTGCTGAGATTAAAGGTGTGTGCCACCACCGCCTGGCTCTAGTTGAAATTTTGTATCTGTTGACCAACATTGCCTCAAAATCTTCCTCTTTCTAGTCTCTGGTAGTTACCATTCTACTCTGTGTCTATGAATTTGGATTACTTTAGAGTCTATATAGGAATTATACAGTATTTGTCTTTCCATGTTTAGCTTCTTTTACTTAGCACAATGTCCTCTAGGTTCATTCATGTTGCCAAAAACAACAAAATATCCTTACTATTTTTCTTTAAAGATTTATTTTATATATATGAGTGCTATATCTGCATGTACAACTTTATACCAGAAGAGGCCATCAGATCTCACTAGAGATGGTTGTGAGCCACCATGGTTGCTGGGAATTAAACTCAGAACCTTTGGAAGAGCAGTCAATGCTTTTAGCCAATGAGTCATCTTTCCAGATTCCTGCCCCCCTTACTATTTTTTAATAGTACTTGGAATTGAACATGGGGCCTTGTGGATGCCAGGCAATTGCTTTAGCACTCTGAGCTATATCACCAGCTCTGGTTTTCAACTTTTTAATTTTGAGACAGGGTTTTGCTAAGTTGTACAGGCTGGCCTTGAACTTATGATCCTCTAGCCCCAGCCTGCTAAGCAGCTGAGATTATAAGCCTGTGTCACCATGCCTGGCACTGTGTGTGTGTGTGTGTGTGGACCTACCAGTGCAGATGCATGCAGAGGCCAGAGGTTAACACCAGGATGTCTTCCTCAGTGAAATTAGAGCTCTTTGTTTTGACTAGACTGCCTGGTCAGAAAGCCCTCTCACCCCTGGATCTACCTGTCTCTTGCCTTCAACACTGGGATTAGGTCCATCAGACTTGGCTTTTATGTGATTTCTGGGGGTTTAAACACAGGTTCTCTTCCAGGCCATTCTTTCTCTCTTTTTAAAAGGGGTAATAGTATTCCTTTATAATACTGCTGTAATAGCATATGAATATATGCTACATTTTCTATATCCATTCATCTATGGATGGATACTTGGTTTGGCTCCATAACTTGTCTATTGTGAATATGCCACATATGAGTACACTACATTGATTTTATTTCCTCTAGAAATACCAGAAGTTGAACTGATAAATTATATGGTAGTTCTGTTTTTAATTTTTTGAGGGCCCTCCATACTGATTTTTCATAATACACATGCTAGTTCACGTTTCCACCGACGGTATATAAATGGGTCCTTCTTCTATCCCCCCAGTCCTGGGGATTGAACCAGACTCTTTAGTTTCCATTATTGATTAAATCACCTTACTAGTTGAGTTCTATTTAGATTTTCTATTTCTCCCTTAATCAACCAATTTTGATAGGATGAATATCTCTAAGATCTTAACCATTTTATCTAAGTTATCCAATTTGTTAGCATGCAATCAATATATGTGGTACTCCTATGCAATTGTTTATAGTATTTTAATTCTTTTTGTTTCCACAAGATCGGTAGTAATGTCCATGTTTTCATCTTGTGTGTGAGGGAGGGTCCATGTGTAGATATGGAAGGCCAGAGGTCAACTTCAGATGCTACTCTTCAGGAGCCATCAACCTTAATTTTTGAGATGAGTCTCTCACTGGGACTCAGGAGTCACTGATTAGGATAGGCTAACTATCAGGAACCCCAGGGGTCCTCTGTCCACCTCTCTAGTATTGGGATTATAGTATATTACACCATGCCAAATTTTTTATTTTTAGGGGCCTATTCTGGGAATTGAGCAGAAGCACTTTACCAAAATGTGCTAGCAATTCACTCCCTGTGTTCTCATTTTCGATTAATACTTTGATTTTTTTTTCTTGAGACAGCATTTCTCTGTGTAGCCCTGGCTGTCCTGAAACTCACACTGTAGACCAGGCTGGCCTTGAATTCAGAGATATCCTCCTGCCTCTGCCTCCAGAGTTCAGATTAAAGGCATGTGCCATCACTGCTGGTGAATTTTTTCCCTTAATGTAACTAAAGCATAATCACTTTTATTGATTTTTTGAATTTATTCAGCTTTTCCATTTTTCATGTTCTCTATTTCATTTATCTCCACTGTAATCTTCAATATTTCCTTGCTGTTGCAGTTTGAGATTGATTTTAGTCACCCCCACACACACCTAGTTCCTTAAAATGTAAAGTTAGGCTGTTCAACTAGGATCTTTCTTTCTTAAACAAATATATCATTCATTTTATACTAATTCATCGAAGTTAAATAAACATACTGCTTTATATCTAATACAACATTTATTAATTCTTTAAGAATTTATTACACTATATTTTGATGATGTTTACCCCTACTTCTCCCCCTAATTCTTCCCAGAACTCACACTCATGTCTCTACCCCTTCTTAACTTCATGTCCTCTTTTATAAAAATAGCCCACCAACTCTAATTTGTGCTGCTCAATGTGCTCCTGGGTGTGGGCCAACCGCAGGGGCAAGGGGACGACCAGGAGCCGCACCCTGAATAAAGCTGGACTCTCCCTTCTCCAGGAGCCATCGACTGGCCACAGCAACTTGTTGGGCTTCGATATCATTGTGCCCATGCCCCACTTCCATGCTTGAATGTTGATTGGCTTGATTTTATGAATGCAGTGGTCTCATCATGTCCAGAATGCACGGTTTCAGTCCATTCTTCCCTGAGCTTTCTCTCCCCTTTCCATGATGGTCCCTGGGCCGTGTGTGTGTGTGTGTGTGTGTGTGTGTGTGTGTGTGTGTGTGTGTGTGTGTGTGTGTGTGTTGGGGAGTGGGAATGTGGGGGGTATTACTTCGTAGTCTTCAAATATTAAAATATTTTATTGACGTTGCTTCATTAAAAAAACAAAACAAAACAAACAAAAAACTCTTGACATTTCTTTTGAAGATTGAAGCAGAATTTTCAATTCCTGAACAAAATCTCACTGTACAAGCTGACTCTTGTCCTCCGTACTTACCAAAAAAGTGAGTAAATTAAGCATATCTAACTGCTGACTAATTGTGTTTGAGGGATGAAATCTCATGTTCTGCTTCTCTGTGCTGCTGGGAAGAGACCTCTTTCCGGTATGGCATCGTCATTTTCTCCTTTTTCAGCGCCATGAAAGATGTGAAAACGACAGAGCAGCCGAGCAAAGCAAGGGTGGAAGTGGACGGCGCAGACGCGGCTCCCTTTGATAGGACTTCTGAAATAAGTGCCAAGGAAGAGTTCGTTTTGCGTCCGGCTAAATCAAGCCCTTCTTTTGAGTTTTTGGAGCTAAACTGCGGGTGTAACAACAAGGTTGTCATAGCCAGGGAAGGGCAGGCAAAGGCCTCTCCAGTCCTGGGAGAGCCCCTTCAGAAATACCAGAGTCTGGATTTCGGTTCCATTTTGCACGGGTCATGTCCTGGTGCTCCGCCTAGCACCACAGCAGGCAGGTGCAGCAATTCCAAGGGGCCGGTGATACGGACCAAATCAACTCCCTTTGAATGGATTCAGCGGAGAAAAACAAGCGACTTGGACACGGAAGACGGTTCTTCATTCTTGGAATCTCAACTGCATGCGCCTTGTCTCATGGAGCCGCAGGCACAAAGAGTGGTCCACGTTTCTTCCGAGGAACTGAATTACTCACTGCCACGTGCCTCTGAGCACCCAGCACGCGATGACCCTTGTGTACTGCAGCGCGGCCCCAACACTTTTAGAGTGCATTCTTGCACGTCGTTAGTAGAAGATCCCTATTTCCCATCGTCACCCCCAAACAGTGCTGATTCTAAGATGTCTTTTGATCTGCCTGAGAAGCAAGACGGAGCCACTTGTCCTTGTGGTCTGCTGCCAGCCTCTTCCACAACCTCCCTTTCCTACTGCAACTCCCGCGATTCTTTAATGGCGAGCCCTGTGAGCAGTTTCCCCCCACTGTTAAACCAAGAGACAGCCACAGAAGGTAAGCTATGTTCACATTTGTATAGTGCTTTGGACCTTGCCTTGTTTCCATTAAATATTGTTTTCTCCTAACCCTCCTCTTCCTCTGCTTCTTTTTCTTCCTTTTCTCCTCAAAGAAATAAATTCTGGGAGTGTTCTGATGGTGTACTGTAAAGACAATAGCAATGAGGCTGTCAGGTTTGGGGACCTATCTTCGCCAACAGGAAGGCTTCTAACACGGCATCCTCATTCGACTTGTTTATCAACAGCCGCAGTTTACCTTTACCATACAGAAGCAGCTTCCCAAGTACAGAGGGCAAACTGGTCAACAGCACGGCACAGTCACCCCGAAATATTTGTTACACACTTAAGTGCCTGTTAATGCGTTGAGCACATTGCTAAGCATTGAATTCTCTTCCTGTAGGAGTGGGAGTGGTAGGACCCGATTTCCTGCACTTTTCTCATCTTAGTAGATGAGGATATTTGCTTAGTATTGTGTGACTTTCTAAAATCTTTTAATACAATTTTCATATTTATGCCTTATAATTCTAGATTTTTACATATCCAACACACTGTTTTGTTTAACTGAGTAGTCAGAAAGTAATAGTGAATATACTATTAGAGGTTATTATATGCTGGTGTTTTTCTTTGCCCTTTTCTTTTTAGTGAAGTGGATGGAACCTAGTGCCTCAGGCAGGTCAGGCAGGTGTCTAAGTGGAATCCCTAGCCCAGACCCTAATAATTTGATGTAGAAGATGAAGGAAGCGAAGAGCAAGTTTCATTTGCTTAGGCATATTGCCAGATAATCCATAAAGAACATTTAGTTAGTACAGAACATTTCTGCTCTAGAACAGTATTGATTGCTGCTTCCCTTTTCCTCTTTTTGAAGTCATGGGACTTGAATCTAGCCAGTCAGGCAAGAGCTCTGTCATGGCGGGATAGGCCCAGCCTGTATTTCTTTCTGTCCTCTTTTCTTGATTTAGCTAGGGTCTTCCTACTGAAGCCAGCCTAGAACTCACGGAGATCAGGCTGATCCAGAACTCACAGCAGTCCTGCCCTAGTCTCTCAAGTGTGGGGATTAGTTTCTGTTTCCTTCTGTCTGTGTGTATGGCGTGTGTGTGTGTGTATGTACCTGTGTGTGTGTGCGCACACGCGTGCATGCATGTGTGCGTGTGTGTGTGTGTGTGTGTGTGTGTGTGTGTGTGTGTGCCTAGATCAGTGAACAGCTTGCAGGAGTGAGTTTTCTACTTCTACCATGTGGGGTCTGGATTGAACTCAGGTTGTCAGACTTAGTAGCCAGTGCCTTCACCTGCTGAGGCACCTCACCATCTCCTGTTTTCTTTTTATGAATAACCATCATGCTTTAAACATCTCAGAGCATCAAAAACAACAAAGAAAGTAAATTATCTTCATATTGTAGCAAAATTGATATGTCTGCCATCTGGTGGCAGTTTCTTATAGTAGCATGTAAAGTGTTCTGCACAAATTTGGAATTTTTTTTTTTTTTTATTAAACAGAAAACCCTGTAGGCATTTGAGCCTGCCCTAGATTTCTAGTATACGTCCATTCCCAGAATTTTCTCCTTTTTTGATGAACTATTTCTATTTCTGTAATAAACTTCTATATTTTGGATTCTGTATGGAATAGAAAAAGGATTTTTTCACCTTTTGTGTAAATGAATGTTTAGCTGATGAAAAGTATCCTATTGTGACTTCTATAGAAAACAAAAGGGAAGAGTTATGTAGAAAATAATCCAAACCATCCTAACAGTGACAAAATATTTGGAGATATTTAAACCTTTAAACCCAGTAAAAACTTCAAAGATCAAGTAAAGCTTTTACCTAAGAACAAATTCATTCTTTTTCCTAGAGTAAGCATATACAAATCTGTTAAATTTATATTTAGATTAGATGGGAATGTAAGGGTCTCCTTTGTTCTCATTACAAAATTGTGATTACATTTCTGTCATTTGGACAGTGACTTCTCCAAGGATAGATGACGAAATTCCCCCTCCACTCCCTGAACGGACACCCGAGTCTTTTATTGTGGCTGAGGAAGCTGGTGAGTACAATTCAGTAAGTCTAAAGTGTGTTCCTTCTCAGGTCCCTCCAGTGTTCTATGTGCTGCTGAGCATCCATTTGTCTCTTTTAAAAATAACCTCATTCAGCTGGGCTGTGGTGGCACATGCCTTTAATCCCAGCACTCGAGAGACAGAGGCAGGTGGATCTCTGTGAGTTTGAGGCCAGCCTGGTCTACAAAGAGAGTTCCAGGACAGCCAGGGTGGTTATACAGAGAAACCCTATCTCAAAAAACAAACAAACAAACACCCCATTCCTAAGAACTGGGCATACCCACTTTCTTGCAGGAGAACTCTCACCAAGTGTTACTGAGTCCTTACCTTGGTGGTGAAGGTAAGAGGTGGAGCCTCACTGGAATGGAGTAGAGCATCTGACTCAAAGACCCACAGCTCTGTGGGGCCTTGGCAACTTTCGTCTGACTCAACTCCTTCGTGTTTAACAGACTGCAGTTTTAGTCCACACATTTTAGTTTTTAGACGTATTGATTTTGTTTTAGTTACATGAATGTTTTGCCTGTATGTCTATATGTGAACCACATGTGTGCCTGTGCCTACTGAAGTCAGAGAAGGGCATGGGATCCCCCAGGACTGGAGTTGCGGATGGTTGTGAGCCACTGTGTGGGTGCTGGGAACTGAACCCAGGTCTCCTGCCAGAGTTCTCTCCAGACCGTTTCTCTTCATTTTAACAACTGTCATGCAATGGTTAACTAAAATCTAAATGTAAAACAACATGCTGGAGGATATGGGGGGTAAGGAAGGTGTACAAGATACATTTCTCCCTCTTAAGAAGCTTACGTTTGAAGTACAGGATGTGTATATGAATCTTTGTTTATTATATCAAGACCATATATATCAATGATATGTGAGAGAAAGGAGAGCCTTTCAGGCTGAGAGTAATCAGAAAGGCCCAGTGAAAGAGAAAACATTTGAGTGGATTCCTAAGAGAGCTAAGGCAAAAATGAATGTTTTCTAAGGAGACAGATTATTCACTGTACTCACTTCATAGGCTGGATTGTGTTAGCAGTGAAATCACATACAGCAACTTTTAATGACATGTGCAAATTATTTAAGATGAACACCTGGAATAATGTTTTCTGATTCTAAAAGAAAAATCTGTATTTTTGATAATCTGTTATGTATTTCTAGATATTCTTTGAACCAACTATTTAAGTATATACAATGATTTTAGAGCTAAGACAAGCATTTAGAAGTTTCTACAGGGCTGTGAATGTAGCTTAGTTGTAGAGCATTTGTCTAGCACGGCAAGACTCCGGGTTTAATCCCTAGTACTGAATTAAAAAATAGTTCCCACAATTGTGATGATGGAAAGTCACAATTTAATGTAATTGTTGTTACAATCACTGGTAATAGTATGGACATGCATAATGGTCTTTTTCTTTTTCTTTTTAAAACTCACATAGCAAAGAACAATTATCCTTTTTCAAGTGCCATAAAGTAATCATAATTTCAACAACTTATCTCCAGATAAATTTTTAGGGTAATGTTCTAAATTATGGAAGAACTAATTCCGGAGGAGATCAATTTAGAACTAATTTCCATATGGTAGTTATGAAAAATCACTGTAAGAGTTAGGGACGCCTTTTTATAATTCAACACACTTATGAATTAAGAAATGCTGTTATCACTACAGTTACATGAACTATATCTTATTTTTTTGGTTTTTCGAGACAAGGTTTCTCTGTGTAGCTTTGCGCCTTTTCCTGGAACTCACTTGGTAGCCCAGGCTGGCCTCAAACTCACAGAGATCCGCCTGGCTCTGCCTCCCGAGTGCTGGGATTAAAGGCGTGCGCCACCACCGCCCGGCCTATGAACTATATTTTTTTAAATGGCATTTATTGCTTCAAACTTATATTGTGTGTATATATTATTCTTTCACTTTTTTCCCTTCTCACATATTTAGAGTGTGAAACTCCCTAGTCCCAAATCAGGTAGAGACTTTTCTTGTCTTTAAGTGACATTTAGTCCTAAGAACTTGTTTTGTAAAACAGCTCATTAAGTTAGAGTAATTCACCTCAGGAAGATTCATAGTTCTTGTAAACAGCTTCTGCTGTCAATTTATTTTTGGGTTTCCCAGACTGACAATTTTGTTTTGTCATGGGCAAAGTAAAGGCAGGATCCTTCAAAGAAACAAACAAAAACATTACTTCAGATAGGCTATTTGAAAATTGAAATAGTTAAAACAATCTTGTGTAAAAAGAATGAAGCAGAAAAATACTATCCTACCTGACTTCCAAATGCCAGAGACATCAGAATGGCAAGGTACCAACATGAAAGAGACACCCAAATCAGAAGAACAGAATACACAGTTTAGGAAAACTGACATGCGCTTCTATAGCCAACCGACTTTTCACAAAGATGCTATGAACATGGATAGAATAGGACAGTATTTTCAATAAATGATTCTGTGAAAATTGGGTGTCCACATGTATAACAAAGGTGGGCTCCTACCTCTCACAGGTCACCAAAAATAACTCAACATCTACTAAATACTTAAGTATAAGACCTAAAACTACAAAATGACTAGAAGAAACTTCAGGACTTTGGAATGGGCAAGGACTTTTCTGAACAGGACATTAAAAATAAAACAATAAGGAAACAAAAGCAAGAATAGACAAGTGGAATTACACCAAATAAAAGGCCTCATGCAGCAAAGGCAACAACCTGTGTCTTTAACTTAGAAACCTTTGTTCACGATGCATCTGACAAGTACAGCATTGCTCAGCACTACAGTGACTCAAATTTCATTCTGTTTATTTATTTATTTGGTGTTTCTAAGACAGGGTTTCTCTGTGTAGCCATTGCTGTCCTAGAACTTGATCTGTAGACCAGGCTGGCCTCAAACTCACAGAGATTCGCTTGCTTCTGCCTCCTCAGTGCTGGGATTAAAGGAGTGCACCACCATGCCCAACCTTAGTGATTCAAATATAAAAAATCCTGTCTCAATAGGATATTCTGGATATTGACCAAAATGTATAAGGAACATACAAAAAATTAACAGCAAAAAAATATAGTAGCCTGATTTAAAAATTGGCAGTATATCTAAATATATATTTCTCAAAAGAAGACATAACTATGGCCAACGGAGATAGAGATATTCAGGATCACTAACCATCAAAGAAATACAAGTGAAAACCACAACATGGCATAACCCCACTCCACTCCAAAAACAACAGTGGGTGTTGGAGCCCCTGGATCTGGAGTTACAGGTGGTTGTAAGATGCCTACATCCTCTCGAAGAGAAATCAGTGCTCTTAACTGCACTCGCTTTTTAAAAACTTGTTATTACTCTTCTTTTTCATGAGTTTTGCTTATATTATATACTAAGAAAACTGAGTAACATCTACTGGGAATTCATAGGTACTTTGCAAACATTAGCATAGGCTGCCGTTGTCATTAGCATATTTATTCATATTATCATGTTACTCAAATATATATATATATACATATATATGTACTATAATGTGGATATTAAAAAGCATAAGCTTTTGGAGCAAGCAGTCTATAATTCAAACTACCAATCTACTAAAAACTACCAAAATATAACCTTAATTAAAGAATACACTTTCTGAGGGCTGGGTGTGATGGTACATGCCTTTAATCCCAGCACTTAGGAGGTGAAGTCAGGCAGATCTCTGTGAGTTCAAATCTAACCTGGCCTATATAGCAAATTGCAAGCTAGATAATGAATCTCAGTCTCAAAAAACAAACTAACAAACAAACAACAAAAACAACAACCCCAAACTAACAAACTACTTTCTGAGACAGGCATGGTGGCTCACATCTATAAACCCAGCACTTGGGAAGTTGCAGCAGGACTGCCCAAAGTTCAAGGCTACCATTGGTTATAAAGTAAGACCCTGTCTCAATAAAAAGAGACAAACTTCAAAAAAGAATAGCTGGGCGGTGGTGGCGCACGCCTTTAATCCCAGCACTCGGGAGGCAGAGCCAGGCGGATCTCTGTGAGTTTGAGGCCAGCCTGGGCTACAGAGCGAGTCCCAGGAAAGGCGCAAAGCTACACAGAGAAACCCTGTCTCGAAAAACCAAAAACAAACAAACAAACAAACAAAAAACCCCAATATTTGTGGGTTGAGATTGGTGCCTCAGTAGGTAAGGGCACTGGCTGCTCCTCTGGAGAACCCAGGTTTGGTTCTCAGCACCCACATGGTGGCTCATAACCATCCATAACTCTGGTTTCAGGGGATGTGGTCCCTCCTCTGATCTTTGCAGGGATCAGGCACACATGTGTTACACATACATACACGCTGGCAGTGTTCTATTGCTGCAAAGAGACACTACGACCAAGCAACTCTTATACAAGAAAGTATTTAATTTTAACTGGGGGCTTGTTTTAGTTTCGAGGGTTAGTCTGTTATGATGGCGGAAGCATGGTGGGAGCGTGGCGACACCCATGGTGCTAGAGCAGTAGCTGAGAGCTATATCCTGATCCATAGGCAGAAGCCAGAGGAAAGGGAGAGGGAGGGGGAGGGGGAGGGGAGGGGGAGAGGGAGGGGAAGAGAGAGACTCACTGGGTCTGGTCTGGGCCTGAAACCTTGAAGCCCAGCCCTAGTGACCTACTACCTCCAACAAAGCCACACCTCCTCCAATAAGGCCACACCTCCTAATCCATCCTAAGCAGTTCATCGACTGGGGACTAAGCATGCAAATATATGAGCCTATGGGGGCCGTATTCATTCAAACACAGGAAATGCTCATATATAAAATAATAAAAAATTCTTTAAACTGTTGATTTTCTCATTTATAAATTAAAATTTTATTTTTTTGTGAGAATTGAGATAATACATTTAAAGTTTTTAGCACAGTGTTACCAAATAGCCCTCATCAAATATCTTACAAGTGTTAGGATAGTCAGAATATGGAATAAGGAAAGGCACTACTTTTTTTTTTTTTTTTTTTTAGACAAGTTTAGCCATGCAGCATCTCAGGCTGGCCTTAAACTTTCTATCCTCCTGCCTAATTCTGGAATCACAAGTGTATACCACTATGTCCAGCTAAAAAGTACTATTTAATGTTTATATTAAGTTGGGTGGATCAAATTAATACCCATGTGGAATCATTGATTATCTATGTGGCGCTAATTATAATCAGCAGGATTTTGGAAAAATAGGATGATATTACTGGAGTGGCTAGGAAAGCCTTTACTCAGCATAAGAAAGATCTTAGAGAATTTGGGACAAAAGGAAGGAATTACACAAGTTATGACAAGCCTAAGAAGACTCAAAGGAACATGATGTGTGCAAAGAAATCATGAGTAGGTTATCTGTATATTTTACAGTGCTGAGATCCAATTCAGGGCCTCCTAGATGTTAGGTGAGTATTCTACCACTCAGCTACTCCCCCAGCTAGTGACTAGGTTATTGTCATTGCAATAGGGGTTCAACTTTGTAAAATACAGAAGATAAATTTAGATAAAGTGTAGCAAGGTTTTGAAGTTAGTCAGAGGGAATACCCATGTTGTAAAAATCCATAAAGACAGTGAGCTGGTGGGTCCCAGCTACCAACTGGCTCACTAAACACCTAAGGACCAAGCCTCCATCTCACAGAGCACCCAGAACCAAGCCTCCTACTCTGTCTGGATCAGAGAACTCTAAGAACACTGAGGCTGCAGGGATTTTCCCCTCTTACACATGGTGTAGAACTTACTAGCACCAGAGGGCTGTGAGAACTTCATTTTTCAAGTCAACATAGCTGTGCCAGCAATATACTACCTAATTGTTCCAAGCTTTTGTTGCCATGGCTTACCATGATGGGCTGGACCCTGAAATAAATAAATAAATCCTTTCTCTGTTAAAAGCAAGCAAGGAAGCAAGCAAGCAAACCAGAGGTTGCCAGGGTTAGGGGGGAAAGGGAATAGGGAGCTATTAATGGGTGTAGCATTTCCTTTCATGGTGATGAAAACTGTTCTGGAATTAGACAATGGTGATGATTGTGCAATACCATGAGTGCACTGTTATTGATGACAAATCATATGTGTATTTTACTACATACCCAAAGCTAGGCAGAGGAACACAGACTTAATACAGAAAATAACAGCATTGTAGATTCTTCCTCTAGAGACACTTAAGATGAAATGGAAAACATCCACCAAGATATTGCTAACAATTTTACTTCTCAGAATATGCCTTAACAGCAAACTGAAAGATAATAAACTGTCTTGAAGTGTTTATCAAACAATTATTGGATTAGGTACTAGAAATAAGTACTATACAGCACGTAAGAAATAAACAATAATACTTGCTTCATAGGTAAATTTTACAGCCTAAATATCTTATGACCAGGGCTGTCGAGATGATTCAGAAGATAAAAGTGCTTGCCTTGCAAGCTCAATGACCTGAGTTCAATCCTTATAACCCACATAAAAAAGATGGATATGTCTGTGGAGGTGGCTGTGGTAAGGGTTCTTGCCACTAAGCATGACAACTTGAGTTGGATGCACGCAGTAGAAGCAGAAAACTGACTTCCACAGGTTACCCTCTGACCTCTACATGCACACTGTAGTATGTTTGTGTTCCCCCATCAATGTTAAAATTTAAAAATCTAGATGGGGCAATAAATACCACATCTCTAGTCCCAGCATACCTATAATGAGATGAGAGGTAGAGATGGGAGAATCAACTAGAAGCTGGAAGGCTAAAATTTTCTGTAAAATAAATTAGATCTAGGACCTTGGTAAAATCCACTTCCAATCTCTTTAGAAGAAGACATCCATAAGTGAGCTCACAAGTTTGTGATGAATCATGGTCTCCTTGGTCAACAAAGTAGGACTACACTTTTGAGACTCTGGTCATTGTTCAGATAATTCCTTTTACATTGTATGACAGTTCACTTCACTGTTGCTGTGTCCACCACAGGAGATGGAGGCCCTGGAAGGCAACAAATGCTCTAAATCTTTCTGCCAGCTGGACATGGTGGCGCACACCTGTAATCCTATGTTCAGATCCTTTTTGGTGGTTGTGATGGTTAGTTTTACAGGATCTGCAGTCCTCTAGGAGGGCCTCGAGGCACACCTGTGAGGGATTATTTGATTCAGCTAGCCTTTAGACATGCCTGTGAAGAACTATCTTGATTAGGTTGAGGTGAAAAGACCCACCTCAGTACTGGTTAGCATTGTACCCTGGGATTCGGTCCTGGACTGGATAAGAAGGACTCCAGCTGAGTAGAACCAGCATCCACGACCCCCTGCTTTCTGACCATGTGTGCAATGGGACCAGCTGAGCTGGCGTCCCCACCACCAGGACTACCCCCATGATTTTATACGTACTGGGACTACCAGCCAACTTAACCCCTTTCCTGAAGTTGTTCTTGTCAGGCTATGTTGTCACAGCAACAGGAAAAGTAGCCAGAACAGTGATTGCAGGCTACATGGACTGACAGCAAAAATTACACAGACACAAAACGTGTCCTGACCCGACTTTTAATTGCTGGATTTCTTTGCTTTGGTATATACTTTTCTTATTACAGATCTACAGCAGGATGGTTCCCCTCCACCTCCACTCCCAGAAAGAACTCCGGAGTCCTTCCTTCTTGCTGATGAAGACTGTAAGTTGGCATTACTTTCAAAAAAGATATAAAATGAAATGTTAAAAGGTCTAAAATAAGCAAAGTGTGGTAGTGCATGCCTGTAATCTCAGCACTTGAGAGGTGAAGACAAGAGTTCAAGGTCATCCTTAGCCACATGGTTTAAGGACAGCCAAAGCTGTTTGAGACCCTGTCTCATAAAAACATAGACAAGGCTGGGCATGGTGGTGTGCCAGAAGGCAAGGGCAAATCTCTGTGAGTTCCAGGACAGCCAGGGCTACACAATGAGACCCGTATAAAAAAACCCAAAACAACTAAGTTAAAAACAGTAAGTCTTACATGGAAAGGTACAAAGAATGATTAAATAAAAGAATAAATTTTAAAGTCTACAATATATAATGAAAATGATACCTAAGAAGGAAAAACATATAGGCCAAATTTGAATATACACCTATATTTAAGTCATAGGCTTAAGAAACTTTACAACAAAATGTTTTTCTTTCTTTTTTCTTTTTGTTAAGGTTTACAGGCCCAACCCATAGAATCTTACTCTACTAGCTATCCTGAAACCATGGAGAACTCAACATCTTCTAAACAAACATTGAAGACCCCTGGAAAAAGTTTCACAAGGAGTAAAGTAAGACTAGAGATTTAGAAAACATCTCAGAGTTTCCCTTACTACAGGCTTTCCCTCCACAGCATTAAGATTGAAAATTACATTAAGCATCTTTATTAATTGAAGTTTTGATCTCTCACAGTCAAAATGAACAGAAAGCAAATCTATGGAATGAATGAGAGTAATTATTAGAGTAATTACAGTAACATGTTAGTATATTAAAATAAATGCATCATCTACCGAAAAAGTTCAGGAATAGGTCCACATCCATGTAGGGATTTAGTACATTATGATGTGTCTCAAATCAAGGGATAAAGATGGATAGTTTCATAATTGTTAGTGGGTTGAGAATGTAGCTCAGTTAGTAGACTGCTTGCCTAGAGCCTGCCTAAAAACTGGAGTGTGACCCAGGGTGGTGGATATCTGTAATACCCAAATCCTATATTTGGGAGGTGGAGGCAGGAGGATCAGAAGTTCAAGGCAGGGATACATGAGACCATGTCTCAGGAAAAAGTTGTTGGTCCAAATAAGTAATAATGTAGAAAATATTTAGGATCTACAATTCATATTGATATCAGGATAAAGTCTAGATAGCTAAAAGATTTAAATGTTAAAATGTGCACATATACATAAAACTACTAAACAGGACCTGGAGAGATGCTCAGAGATTAAGAGCACTAACTACTTTTCCAGAGGACCTGAGTCCAATTTTTCCAGAGGACCTAAGCACTCACGAGGATCTTAACTGTCTATAATTCCAGTTCCAGAGGATCTGATGCCCTCTTCTGCTCTCCCTGGGCACCAGGCATATACATGGTACATAGACATACATGCAGGCAAAACATCTATACACACAAAATAATGAATCAGTCTAATTGTTTTAAATCTGAAAATGAAAAACAACCCCCCAACAAGGACTCAACAACAACTATTTAAAACCTCCTAAGTTACAAGAGTACTTTTTGGTAAGATATTTTTGTAACTCTGGGAGTATGAATGGCCTTTGTAACTATAACAACCAGAGGCAGTAAGGAAAAGGATACACACATTCCACTAAATGAAACAGTAAATTTCTGCACAGTGAAGGAAAGTTACCTGAAAATCAAAGATACAGACCAAATTGGAGAGAAAAATGCCTGTGACTGGCACCATAGTCAGAGGGTATTGTCTACTATGTGATGAATTGCTAGAAATCCATAATATAAAGTAAAAATGGGCAAAAAGACATGGCTGAAGAGCAAAGCAACCCCAGAGGCTGTAGTCAGTTCTGGAATACCCCAGCGAGGGGAGAGACGTCCGTCATCTTTACCCTGGCCTTCTGTCCCGTTGTTTCTAGATATGTACTACACTGCATATGGTAAAATAGCCAGATAGAACCACGTGGTAATTCTATATTGAATTAAGATGTAAGATGGAAAAAATGATTGCATTTTCATGGCTATTATTAAGGAAACTAATCCTGTTAAGTCTGTGTTTTTAGTTGACTAAAGCATTTTGAACTTTATAGGAAAATATTAACTTCCCCCCTTTCTTCACTTTTATAGAGTTTAAAGATTTTCCGAAATATGAAAAAAAGTAAGTTCATTCATATTTATTAGAATGTATCTAAAACTTTTAAATTTACACAGTTTTTGGTATAATCACCCTATGAAAAACGTTAACAATATCATTCCCAAATAGAATTTAATTAGGGACCTGTGGGTTAGAGCGATCACCCAGGCCTTGACTTTGCTGGGATCCATCAGGCTAATGTCGGGTAGGGGTTTCTGTTTACAGACAGAATTAGAATAACTACAATGTTTGGATTGTCTACCCATACCAAGATGCTTAGATATAAATATGTTATTTACAACTCCTAGCAGTCTAACCTTCGATATATTTTCTTTGACACAGTAACAGCAAAGCATATTGTGAAACAAATGTGTTGACTTGATGAAACAAGCGAAGCCTTGACACATTTCCATTTTCACATGTATTACCAGCAGCAAAAGTCTGTTGCTTATTATTTTGCTGTATTGTAATGAAAATAAAAACCCACGGGCTCTTTAAAATTTTGGAAATTCTCTTAGACACCTTATTTACAATTATAAGGTCTATAAAACATGATGGTATGACTCTTAAATGGGACCCACTTGGTTGGTTAGGAAGGACTAGTTGATATTATACTGGAACAATAGGGAGGGACAAGGAACACCAGGGAAATTTTGGATAGCAAATCTCAGGTAGATAGTTGAGTGTTACTTTTCCCTTCGAGGCTTGTCCTTTATTTTTCTATCCATAAAGTTCAGATTCTCAATAGTTTGCCAGCATTACCATCATACCTGACCTCTGAAATAATCTTTTATCCAGTATAGCTAAAGTCTGGTTGAGAAACATGCCTTTCCCCCTAGAATTAGTCAAGGAGAATTTTAGTCAGCCAAAGGTTTATTTGATCAGCTTGTTTAGAAAACACTCAGTTTTCTTTCTCTAGATACAACACTATTTTGGGGATATCAAAGAAACAGTAACTTCAGGTAGATTTATCCTGGCAGATCTTTGGGATATGGTGGGAGACTAAGCCTTCTTTCTTCCTTTCTTTCTTTCTTTCTTTCTTTCTTTCTTTCTTTCTTTCTTTCTTTCTTTCTTTCTTTCTTTCTTTCTTTCTTTCTTTCTTTCTTTCTCTCT